GACACATACATAAGCACGTATAAATCCTAATCTATACGAGCGTAATGCACGTTCGACCTCCACATACACATCCACATCCACCCCATGCTGGAGTCCTTTGTTCATCGCTTCCAAGTGCGGTGGATATGTACCGGCCTCGGATCGGGCGGGGCCAGGGAAGCCGCAAAGTCGAGAAAACCAACAACACCTTCAAAAGCGTAAGAACGAAATGATGATTTTGACCTCTTGGAGCCCTCTTGGGAGGCCTCTTGGAGCCTCTTGGGGTGTCTTGGAGGCTTCTTGGCAATCTTGGGCCGATCTTTGGGCGTCTCGGAGCCCTCTAGGGCCGTCTTGGAGGCCACTTGGGGCCCTCTTGGCCAGTCTTGGGGCCCTCTTGGCCCTGGAGAAATCACGCGCCACCACTTCCGGAAGCCCAGGGGGCACTCGCCAAGCCCCAGGAGATCGGACACTGGGGCCTGGGCCCCTAAAACACTTTTCAGGAGAGAGGACTAAGGTGCAGGGGATTGGGCAAAGGTCGGGGGAGCGTAAGACCCGGGTTTGCCAGGACTCGGGTTCGCCATCGTTTTTTGACGACCGCGCCTCGGATTTTGACGAGGAGGAGTGTCGTGGGATGTCTGCAGCGGGAGGCCTCGTCAAAATGCAGGCTCGGCCTCGTCATTTTTTTGACGACCTCGTCGGGCCAACCCGAGTCCCCCGTACCCGGGTCTTACGTCTCCCCGAAAAGGACCTGAGGACACGCACACGCCGTGCCCAGCGGCACGGTGGCGGAGTTTCCAAGACGAGTGCCGCAGCGTATATGGCGAGGGCCCCGCTCTGGAAGGGAGCCGTTCCCCATGCTCGAAGACGCTGCGAGAGCGTACACCTTAGGCGATGCTTAAGAAAACTTAAATGTTCGGCCAGAGTCTCGATTATTCTTAATGTTTCAATGTAAATCCTAAGTTCTGAATGGAAATTTTGGGTTTTTTATTCAAGTTCTGAGACTATGAATTTCTTAACCCATGATTTCTTAAGCATTTCGCAGGGTGTAAGACGAAGGCGGGGCGGCGTTGAGGCGAGAGCCACGTTCTGAGAGCGGCCTGCCCTCCATCCTTGAAGCTGCTGCAAACGGCCACGACGAGAGTGCGCGGTGCTGAGGCGAGAGCCCCATCTTGACGGCGACCCTCCCTCCGCCCATGATGCTGCTGCAAACAATGACGACGAATGTGCGCGGCACTCATGCGAGAGCCCCACGTTGATGAGAAACCGCCTCCAGTCCTGAAGTTGTTTGAAGCTTCAGGGTCTTAGGTGGTGAGGACGTCTCAAACGAAACGCCTGGCCCGCCCCACTGACACGTTTGGGGTTGCGACGGGGAGAGTCTACTGATAAGGAAGAAAGGGTTCAACAGACTGATGCGCAGTAGGATAACACATGGAAGCAGGGACGTTGAACGAGGACAAGGAGGAAGAGGTGGAGGAAAAGGACGAAGAGGGAGGAGGAAGAGGAGGCAGGGGAGGAAAAGGACGACGATGTATCTTCCTCTTCTCCCCCTCACCCCCTTCCCTCTCCTCCTCCCCCCCCCTCGCCCACGCCCCCGAGGCCGATGCGCTCTCGAAGAAGGACGCCGAGGAGGGGTCGGGCGCAGCTGGCCAGAGCTCTCCCCAGCCTTGTGTGCTTCCTCCTGCTTCGGGAGCCTTCAGACGGGGGTCAATGCAACCGGGGGTCGGCCAGAGCGCCCGATCTTGCAGGATCCTGCAGGGCCAGGGTCGCACTGACCCAGGTTTGGGCGCAGGATCTTGCAGGATCCTGCGGGATCCTTCGCATCGACTCGGGCTTGGGTGCAGGATCTTGCAGGATTCTGCAGGGCTCGACTGACCCCTGGGTCTGGATGGACCCCGGTCAGAAGATCCCCGACTGCTATTTTTGCCGCGCTGAAGACACTCGGGGTCAAGGGCGCCCTCGAGGGCGCGAAGCTGTTCGCGCTGCGCGCGCGCCTCGCGGCACGGCTCCGATTCCTCCTCATCCTCCCCTCCTCCTCCTCCTCCTCCTCCTCCTCCTCCTCCTCCTCCTCCTCCTCCTCCTCCTCCTCCTCCTCCTCCTCCTCCCCTGGGAGGCGGCGCGAGAGCGCGAAGTTGGGAGCCCTTGGGGGTCCTGCTGGGAAGCGGGGCGTGCGGTTCTCGCTGCTCGCGGGCTCCATGGGGCCGCCCTCCGCGGGGGCCCCCGTGTCCAAGAACTGCGCCGCACGAGACGCTCGGTCCTGGCGGCGGGCCCCGGGTTGGGTTCCAGGACCCGTCTCCTTCGCGACCCGCTGGTGCGAGTCATGCCAGAATGCAGGAGGGGAAAAACACACACAGACACAATTCATCGTCGATCCCTTGGAACATATGGAAAACACGGGAAGTGGGGGGGATGACGAAAACCAAGAAAATATGGGAAAATATGAGGATTCCTGTTATTTGTGTGTTTTCTTTGTGTGGCCCAGGGCCCCTTGAAGAAAGCGTGTCGGTGGTTCTGCTTCTACTTCCGCCCCCTTCCTCCTCGTTCTCGTCATTTCTCGTTGCGCATCTTCCTTCTCCTCTCCCCTGGCCCTCTGTCTTGCTTCTCCTTTTTTGTGCACTCCACTTCCCATGATAATCCTCGTCCTGCTCATCCCCCTTCCCGTCTATTCTCCTCATCCTCATTCCTCGGATGTTTTTTCGCCCCTCCCATATAATGTAGTTCTCCTTCTGCCCGTCCTTTTCCCGTCGTCCCCGCCTTCCCCGTCATGCCTCTATTGCTACTGTCTCGTGTTCGCGACAGTTTTTTGTTCGTCTTGTCTGTTTGTCATCGGAGGGGGAACAGAAATGAGGGGGAGTGGGAGTGGGACGAGGAGGAGGATGTGGGTGTGTAGCCAGGCATGCGGGACGCCAAGGCTCACGTGAAGGTCACGTACTGATTGTTCAATCAGTTGTTCAGTTGTTGATTGTACCATTGGCCCAGGCAGAAATCCCGAGGATTTTCCGTGGACGAAGGGGGGACCAGGACTTGTTTCCATCAGTGTTGCCCGTGCGTATGCTTACCAGCCTCGGACTTATCCCTATCCCTAAGATTGACACGCCAAAAGGCGATGGCAATCTTAGGGATGCGCCCTCAAAAAATAAGGGAATCCCTAAGATTGGCATTGTGATAAGGCGATGCCCAGCTTAGGGATAGGGATATGTTCCAGGCTGGTAATACGCTGCTTTGTCCACACGCATTTGCCGTCAGAAAGGGGAAAGGGGAGGAGGAGAGGAGGAGTGGTGGAGGAGGAGGAAAACAGGAGTGGGGGAGGAAGATGCGGAGGACGAAGGTGATGGACGAGGAAGAGGAGGAGGAGGATGAGGTGGAGGTGGGGAGGAGGAGCGGGTGGAGGCGAGAGAAGGCTGGGAAAGGATAGCTAGTATTAGCGGAATGACGAGCCACCTTCCCGTCGCTGGCGCGCGACCTCGCGGAGCGCAAGGGCGGGGAGCACCCCGCGGCGGTGGCGAGCGTCCCGACGCACCGTCGGGGCGCTCAGCTGAGCGTGGCGCTCCTCGCCGCCACCGCCCGCCAGCTGCGCAGTGCGCTGGGCCAGCGGCAGGCGCAGGCGGCGCGGGCGCGGCCCTGGCTGAAGTGCAGGCCGGCTCGCTGGGCAGGGGCGCTGGGCGCCCACATCGTGCAGTTGCTCTACCCTGCCCTGGAGTGTGTCCTGGTGGTCAAGGGGTGTGCCAGTAGTTCGTGTCCGACTGTGCTTGATGTTGCCGGGAGAGGGTGGCAGGACGATGGGGAGGGGGCAGGAGGAACATGACGGAGAGAAGGAGCATGTTGCAGAGGCTTGGAAGGGGACCAACCAGAACAATAGCATTACGACGAGTAGTAGCAATACTGATCACGACAACGATACACCTAATACTACTACGACTACTACTACGACGACTACTACCTTTACTACTACTGCTGCTGCTACTACTACTACTACTACTACTACTACTACTACCACCACCACCACCACCACTACTACTACTACTACTACTACTACTACTACAACTACTACTACTACTACTACTACTACTACTACTACTACTACTACTACTACTACTACTACTACTACTACTACTACTACTACTACTACTACTACTACTACTACTACTACTACTACGACTACTACGACTACGACTACGACACTACGACTACTACTACTACTACTACTACTACTACTACTACTACTACTACTACTACTACTACTACCACACTACTACTACTACTACTACTACTACTATACTACTACTACTACTACTACTACTACTACTACTAAACTACGTACTACTACTACTACTACTACTACTACGTACTACTACTACTACTACTACTACTACTACTACTACTACTACTACTACTACTACTACGACTACGACTACGACTACGACTACTACTACTACTACTGCTACTACTACTGCTACTACTACTTCTACGACTACTACTACTACTACTACTACCACCAGTACTATTACTACTACTACTACTACTACTACTACTACTACTACGACTACTACTACGACTACTATTGCTACTACTACTACTACTACTACTACTACTACGACTACTACTACGACTACTATTGCTACTACTACTACTACTACTACTACTACTACTACTACTACTACTACTATCACTGCCACTACCACTCCCTAAGTATAGTAATAATATCCATAGTAACAACGCGACTGGCATTACGATTCACAATCGACAAAAATGTGATGCTGATACAAATGATATGATGAGGGGGGGCGCGGGACGTAGCAGGTCTAGGACGAAAGAGGATAGGACCACCAAGAGGAGGGAGGAGCGTGGAGGAGGACGTGCAGGAGGAGAAGGAATAGGAGGAGGGAGGGGGGGATGGTCCTTCGTGGTGTACTGTCCTTCTCGTCTCGGTTCTCTCCTCTTGGTCATTGTTTTGCCTGCCCCCAGCATCTGCTGGGGGAGGGCATCGATGGCCTCAGGCCAATCTCTCGACACTGTCCGCATCGCCTAGCCACCGAGGAGGAGAAGGAGGAGGAGGAGGATGGGACGGAGGAGGAGGAGGAGGACGAGGAGGAGGAGGAGGAGGAGGAGGAGGAGGAGTGAGCAGGGGGGAGGTGAAGTCGCTGCTCCGACAGCTTGCCGCCGTGGGCGACAGCGGCGTCGTCCAGGCCGAGGCGTCCGGGCTGGCGCCTCTCAAGAGCCGAGGGACCGGAGGTGGACAGGGCTCACGATCGGTGCGGCGACCACGCCGCGTGGTGCGTCAGTGGGGATTCGGGGTCACCGCGCGCTTCTGGGATTCGGGCCGCTCTCCGAGGACGTTCCAGGCGACCGGGGTATATCCCAGGTCACAAAAGCGTGCGGTGACGGACCACACGGTGAGGTTGCTGGGGGTTCCGAGGTCACCATGCGGTACGTTACCACACGATCTTTGGGCCCCGAAGAGGGACCCAGGGGAGGCCTTACCGAGCCCCAGTCAACCATCCCTTCCCGTGACGTCCCCCTGGCCTCGCCCTAAGACGTATGTATGCTGTTCGAGGGAAACTTACAATGCGAGGATGACGTCACGGAAGGTGATGGTTTGCTAGGGGTCGGGTTGGCTGCGCCCGAAAGATGGAGGGAGGGATGGGGAATTTAGTTGGGATCGGCGCGGGTGAGATTCAAGTGAAAGATAAGGGGGGTTATCCATGGATGCCAGGATGGTCTATATCTGGCCTGACTTAGCTTATGAGTGGGCTATCGATGTCCCAAGTGGTTCATGGAGGTTCGATAATTCCGCTAAGTGCACGGAGCCTCCAAGCCCCCCCCCACGTGAAGTGCAGCATCTCTTCCTGCTCATCCTGTGCGTGGAGCTGTTGCTGCTGCGTGCGCATGCTCCGTGTCCTTCACTTGCTCCACCATCCTTTTTCAGTTCCCCCCCCTTCTGGCAAGCACTCCAATTAAAGCGCCCACGACTGCCCAAAAGACCTTCGAGTTCGCCCCAAGCTGCTCAACAGAATCCCAAGAGCGCCCGAAAGAAGGCCACGCTGGCCCCAGCGGAGCCCCCAAACGCCCCATGACGGCACGCAAGGGTCATCCCCCAGGACGGCCCCTTGCCCACGAGGACCGCTTTGCTATCCCTTCTTATTCTTATCGCATTTGTCCGAACGTCAGCTGTCCAACAGCTGATTTCGGTCACATGCTCCACTCGCGAGCCCCGCGGGTTCGGCGCAGGGAGTGGTTGTCGTCGCTCTCTTCCTTTCGGTGACGGTGAAGCGAGGGTGACGGTGAAGGGGGCGACGGTGAGATCAGGGGGTGACGGCGAAGCGAGGGGGTTCCGCACGCGTTGCAAGGTAGCCAGGAGGAGGCGAGGAGGCGAAGAAATTCGCGAGGCTTAGAGAATCAGAAGCAGCAGGCAGGAAGGGGACTCCCCGCTGCAATGCTTCGGCTGAGAACTGCGGGCAACGCGTCCTTCTCCTCCTTGTCCTCCTCATCGGCCTCCTCCCCCCCTCGTCCTCCTCATCGGCCTCCTTCTCATCCTCCACGCCCTCAATTTTCCTATCGCGCCATTGGTTGTTCTCCTTCACCGACACCTGCTCATGCACCGCTGTGGAATACGGCAACCCCTACATCCCCCTCGTCGTCGTCCTCCTCCTCTAGGCCGCCCTGCCCATCCTGCCCTTCCCGCTCCCTCGTCTTCCTCCTCTGCCCCTTCCTCTTGCCCCCCGTCCTCGTGCTCCTGCGCCCCCTGCTCCTCGGGCGGTTGCGCCCGCGGGCGTGTGGACATGTGTGTCGCCTGGTTGCCGCTGTGGTCGCGTTTGCGCCCGCGGGCGGGTCGGAACGTGTCGTTTGGCTGCGGTTGCGACTGCGCTCGCGGGCGGGTTGAGATGTGTCGTGCGGTTGCGGTTGCAGTTGCGCTCGCGGGCGGGTCGAAATGTGTCGTCCAGTAGCGGTTGCAGTTGCGCTCGCGGGCGGGTTGAAATCTGTTGTTTGTTTGCGGTTGCGGTCGCGGTTGCGCCCGCGGGCGGGTTCACATGTGTCGCATGGTTGCGGTTGCGGTTGCGGTTGGGTTCGCGGGCGGGTTGAATTGTGTTGTTTGTTTGCGGTTGCGATTGGGGTCAAATGTATCGTTTGATTGCGGTTGCGGATGCGCCCGCGGGCGGGTTGAATTGATTTGGTTGCGGTTGCGGTTGCGCCTGCGGGTGGGTTGAAATTTGTTTGATTGCGGTTGTGGTTGCGATTGTGCCCGCGAGCGGGTTGAACATAGTCGCATGGTTTCGATTACGGTTGCGCCCGCGAGAGGATTGCATTCTGTCGTTGGGTTGCGGCTGCGCCTGCGCTTGCGCACGCGAGATGGTTGAAATGTGTCGCTTCGTTTCGGCTGAGGTTGCAGTTGCGCCCGTTGGCGGTTTGAAATGTGTCGCCTTGTTGCAGTAGCGGTTGCGCCCGCGGGCAGGGTGAAATGTTTTGGTTGGTTAAGGTTGCGGACGCGTCCGCGGGCTTGTTGGAATGTGTCGTTTGGTTGCGGTTGCAGTTGCGCCCGCGGGCCGGTCGAAATGTGTCGCTTGTGTGGGGTTGTTGTTAGGTGGGTGGGAGGGTCGAATAGTGCGTTTTTTGGCGGTTGCGGTTGCGTTCGCGCCCGGGTCGAAATGTGTCGTTTGGTTGCGGTTGCAGTTGCGCCCGCGAGAGGATTGAAATGTGTTGTCCAAAGTGTTTTTCCAGTTCAGTCAGCGCAGCGCAATTCAGTTCAGTCGGTCAGTCAGCGGAGGCGACGACATTTCACCAGGCTCCGACGAGAAAGACGCCTCTGAGGTAGATCTTAGCGGGTGGGGGGGCAGACCTTTGGCTGGGTCTGGCTACTCTTTCCAGGCTGCGTCGCCGCCGCCGCCGCCGTCCACTGAAATCCGCAAATCCGGGTTGTCAGCGCGAGGCCCCAGGGATCCCGATCGTTTCCTCGGGGCCAGTGGTTCGTCCCGGGATCTGCGTGGTATTGCCCCGTGGCTCGGCCTCACGGCCGAGAAGCCGGAATCGAGCGAAAAAACTCTCAGGTTTTGAAATCAGATCGTTGGAGATTGGGGTCGTTGTCGCCGCCGCCGTCGCGTCGCCGTCGTCATCAGCCTTTGCACCCGCGCTCTGCAAGCGGGCCGCGCCGAGGCCGCCACAGCTAGTCAGGCGGAGGACAGCACCGCCGGGCGCCGCTACCTTTATAAGGGAACGCCGTCGTCGTCAGCGTTCTACGGCTGATACGCTTGGACGTTTTGGCCCCTCTTTCAAGCAGTGGTGAAGCGTCCTGGCCTGCCTATAGGCCCACGGGCGAGTTGAGGCAACGGTCGTGCCTTCGTCGCGGCGGCTGGACGCAGCCCCGCAACGCTTGTACGCGTGGACCACGGGAGGGGTCCAGGTTCCGAATCAAGATGCTGTTGTCTCAGGTCGCCTTGCTCCGATCGGCGGCGGAAGCCGCACCCGATCCTTGCCGGTCAGCGAATCAGGCACCTTGATGGGCGGCTGGGGTAGGGTTCGGAGTTCGTCGACCACGTGGCAACATCCGATCTTCGGCCTCCATGAACCTTTGGGCCGGTGGCGCGGGTGGTATCGTTGTAGGGAGGCGCGTGCAAGGGAAGACATCTGAGGCAGGCAATCGTTTGGCAGGCATTTCAGTTTGCTATCCGATCCCTTTTGTTCACCGCCGAGTGGAGGCAAAGAGGGAGGGAGGAGGGAAGAAACGGGTGAGGAGGAGGGAGGAAGAAGGAGGGAGGATGAGGAAGCAAGGGGGGGTGTAGGATGGGGAGGGGGCGATGGGGGTATGGGGAAGAGGAGGATTGGACCAGGGAGGAGGAGGAGGAGGAGGAGGAGGAAGAGAGGAGAGGAGGAGGAAGAGAGTGCGAGGGGGCACGAGGGCGAGGGGGAGGACAGAGGCGGCCGTGGGGGAGGGAGGGGGGAGGGAGAGGAGGGAAGAGAGCAGGCGGCCGTGAGGTGTGAGGCGGGGGGGGGGGCCCGCCACCCCCCCGCGCGGGCCCCCAGCCGCAGGAGGAGGCGTGCACGGCCTTCGAGGCCGGCGGCGCCCCGCGCGCCCCCCGCCCGGCTCCCGCGGGGGGGGGGAGGGGTCGGAGGGCTGCGGGAGGCGGGGCTGGCCAAGGGCAGGGGGGGGAAAACCACACAGACACCATTGATCGCCGATTCTCAGGGACTTTGCAAACATATGGGAAGTGGGGGGGGAGACAAAAACCCCGAAAATAGAAGAACAGATTTTTGTTGTCGATTAATGTGTATTTACTTGTGTGTCCTGGGGCCCCTTCACAAGGGTCGGAGGGCTGCGGGAGGCGGGGCTGGCCAAGGGTAGGGGTCACTAACTCAAAACAGACGCCCAGTCCCAAAAGCGCGAGGGCCAAGACAGAACGCAGGCTCCTCGAGACTTCGGGGAGGGAGATTTTGGGGTTCAGGGTTTTACCAGGGTGACAACGACGAACGCAACACATACCCCGAAATCTTTGGCCGATCTTCAAATCCTCGGTGAATCCGCGATTTTGGGGTTGGGGATGTGTTTTGTTCTTGGTCAAAGGGGGGCGAGGGCTCGCAGGGGTCGGATGTCGCGGCCACGGCCGCGACTGCTTCCCTGAGAGCGAGGCGGCGAAACTTACGAGTGATTCGAAAACGCTGGCGGGCTAGTTGGCTCGAAAGGGCTCGACGGAAGTTTTGCATAATTTGGGCCGGATGCAAATCATGTTCTCGAAATTCAACAGTTCGTTTGAGCTTCAATATTTTTGTCCCCCCATCTTCGATCTGATTCCCGTTCGCCATTTTATCTAAGGTCGATCGGGTGGATGGGGTCGACCAAAGAACGACACCACCCCAGCTACGGCCTTCCATGCTGCGCTGCGGCCCATTGGGGGCCGCAACGCATGCCATGCAAAAACCCAAGCCAGATGTCTCGGTATATGCTAAGGCCCGTGGGGCCGCAGGTGGCTTGGTGCCGTCTGTGTTTGGGCCCAGGCGGAGCTCATGGCCGCGGCCCTGATCTCGTGGCTTCCTGTGTTCTCCTCTCGGCACGCTCCTCGGCCCCCCCCCTTCGTCCGCGCACGTGCCTCGGGCCACAGTCCGCGCGACCCCCCCTCGCACGCCGATCCTGGGTGCGCCACGGGTGGGGGGGGGGCGCCTCCTCCTCCTCCTCCTCCTCCTCCTCCTCCTCCTCCTCCTCCTCCTCCTCCTCCTCCTCCTCCTCCTCCTCTACGACGGCGGGTCGCAGAGACAGACGCGCTGGTCGTAGAAAAGGCACGCCGGCGGAGGGCCGTGCGGGCTTTCTCGGGCTGGCCCTGTGCCCCCCCCCCAGGCGCCGCCGCCCCTGGGCGCGCTTGCCGGGGGGGGGGAGTGCAGATCCAACAGATCCGCGCGGATCAGGAGGGGACAAAATCACACACAGACACAACAAAATCGTCGATCCCGCGGAAAGTGTGGGAAGAATAGGGGAAGGGGGGGGGGAGACAAAAGCCCAGAGCACATGTGAAAAGATGGCGAACCCTGTTATGTGTGTGCATTCCTTTGTTCGACCGGAAGAGGTGCGCTCTCGACCCGCGAATCAATCAAAACAAGTGCATTTCTTTGCGTATCCCAGGGCCCCTTCAGCGGAGTTCCGAGAGCTGCTGCTCGAGGAGGTGCTCTTCCTCCCCCCCGAAGGGCGCGAAGGCAAGGGGGGCGAGGTTGGCCCTCGCGGCCCGGGCCGTGGCGCCGCCTGCTCCTCCCCCCGGGCCCTCCTGCGGCGGGCCCTCGTCGGCCAGAGCACTGCGGTCGCGGCCTCGCTCCCGCCTCCGCAGCCCGCCTCCGGCCGCCTCGGCTGATTTTCTCGCTTCGCCCATTCCGCCGGCCCTGGAGCGCTATTTGGGGCCTCTTGGGGCCGCCCCGACAGTGGCTCAACTTTCGGCAGCACGCTGGCTGCCCGTCGCCCCCCGCTCGATTGCACAGTCTCGAGCGGGGAGACGCCTCACCCCCTGCGCTCTCGCGCTCTTCAGTATGTATATATATACACACAAAAAAACCCTAGGGGGCTTCTTGCGAGCGTCTTGGGGCTCTCTGGCGGCGTCTTGGGCTCCCCTGGGGCCTCTTAGGGGGCTCTTGGGGGCCCCTTGGGGCGGGAGGGGGGGTAGCCGATTGCAGCCACCCCCTCGGAGGCCACGATCCTCGTGAGGGGTGGCGAAAAATAGGCTTCCCCCGGGCGACGGCCGGGTGTCCCGCCTCCGTCCGCCTCGGCTTCTTTCGGAGGCGGATCGCTCTCGGGGGCAGCTCGAGGCACGCGCGGGCTACAAGCACCTGGCCGCTCGTCGGCGCGGCGCTCTCGTCCTCGCCCGTCGCTCAATTTGCGGGCGGGCAGGGCCCTAAGGATCGGAGGTGGATAGACCTCCTACGCTGGCACGTCGATGAAGGAATGGGTCGTCTTCGGTTCGCGAGAGGGCGTCGCGGCCGTCATCTTTGCGGGTCCAGGCCCGTCGGTTTCGGTCCCAGGCCGTTTTCACTAAGGGGAGGGTTGCTAAAGGGAGGTTTGTCCACCACCGATTATTGCACTCCGCCCCTTCCCCATCACCCTCCGCGTCCTCTCTCCTCGCGCCGTCGCTGGGGGGGCGGTCGCCGCCGCTGGGGGGCCGCGAGCTGCGAGACTGTCGATGCTTTCGAGGGCTGCTTCGGGTTCCAGCGGGTTGACGTCCTCGGCAGATCCCATTCGGACCTCGCCGCCGTTGGGGGGCTGCGAACTGCGACGCAGTCGCCACTTTGGAGGGCTGCTGGGAGATCTGGCAGGGTGACGTCCTGCGCAAATCAGAGCGGGACCTCGCCATCGCTGATTGTCTGTGCATTGCGGGGCTGTTGCCTTTTTGGAGGACTGCTGGGGAGTCCAGCGGGCTGACGTCCCAGGCAGATCAGAGCGGGACCCTGCAGTCGTTGGGGGGCTGCGAGCTGCGACACAGCTGCCACTTTCGATGGATGCTGGGGGGTTACGCAGATTGACGTCGTAGGCAGATCAGAGCGGGACCTCGCCGTCGCTGGGGGGCTGCGCAAAGCGAAATTGTCGACAGGTTCGTGGGTTCTTGGGGGTCCAGCGGAGTGACGTCCTAGGCAGATGAGAGCGGGACCTCGCCGTCGCTGGAAGATTGCAAATTGCGAAATTGCCACCAGTTTCGAGGGCTGCTGGGAGGTCCACCAGCGATGTGTTCAGATCACACCCGGTCGCGTGAGATCACAACCAGACGGGTCAGATCACAACCGTCCAAAGCACCAGGCACGGTCAGATCACAACCGAAGAGGAAGCCAATGAAGAAACCATATTGAAGTGTTATCAGACTTGATTTTTGCAATATGGAATTGCAATGGACACCTTACAGGAGCATATTCACGCGTGAGCCATTGCGGTTCGGATACCGCGCGTCTTCTACTGGATCGTAGTAGTAGTAGTAGTAGTAGTAGTAGTAGTAGTAGTAGTAGTAGTAGTAGTAGTAGTAGTAGTAGTAGGAGTAGTAGTAGTAGGAGTAGTAGTGGTAGTAGTAGTA